AACTACACCTTCTACATTATCTGTATTTAAAGAAATCTTTACATCTACAGGAACATGTACGGGGTCCTCCTTGTCAACATTTTCATTATGTCGCACATGACCAACCTCTTCTACAGTGTCCTCCTCACCACCCAAATCACCGCATACTCTTGATTTTTCAACTAAGAAATCAATGCCCTCGTAGTTCAAATTAAAACCAGCATTCTCTCCTCCAACTTCCTCTTTTTCTCTTTCTTTTGAACCAACTTCCAACGGTTTATCTACAAAAGAAACCCTTAAAATCGGCCTCGAACCATTATCGCCCACATCAATCATATATAACTTCACACCGTCATCCGACTTTAATATAGTAGGAGGTACCTTATAATGTTCATGAACTCTGCTTAAAACATACTTCACAACTATATCACTACGTGAGCAACTCAAATCACCTCTTCTAATTATTTCATGAATCAACTTATCAAAACTAACCTCTGTGCTCACAGCAATTGGTATAACTTTTTTGCTCTTCCCAATCCACTTCCAACAACTTTCTTCCTCCACCCACTCACCAAAATATTCAACACCCAAAACAACTTGTCCCATGTCTAATAATAGCCAAATACCTATAATGCAAGAAAAAAAAATTATTAACTGATGTATTAAGGATTGATAGACTTTAAAAAGCATCTGCAGAATCGCTTGAGCGATCTGGTGTATCACTTGAGCGATCTGATATATCGCTTACTGGACCGCTTAAGCGATCTAGTATAAATAAGTCTGAATCGCTTAAGCAATCTGTTGCCATATATTAGACTTATAGCAGATCGTTTAAGTGATCTTCTATCATACACCTGATTACTTAAGCGATCTACGATCTGCTGCATTATACCAGACATAGTAGATCGCTCAAGCGATACACTAGATCGTTCAAGCGATCCATCATATCCAAAACACATTTTCAGTCATCTCCACTTACAATCGGTGCTATCACCCCCAGCTACCCACAATGCAAGAAAATATTCAATAAATTTCACTCTTTTCAACTTGCATTACTTCAAACACAACCCAATAACCTAAACAACTAAATCAAAATCATAACCCAAACTCAATCCATCATTAAATCTTTGTAAAATCGAAATATAAAATGCAAAGAGGAGATACACATACCTGGACGAAATGTCAGGAGGAGGAGGAGGAGAAGGTGGATCTGTGGCGAAGAAGACATTAATGGCGGAGGAAGAAGAAGATGTACAGGAAGAAGAGGTAGACGAAGCTTAGAAGAAACAACAACTAAGGGAGGGATGTGTTAATGGCGGGAGGAAGAAGAAGAAGGTGTTTGGGTTTGTTTGTAAGAATTTCGGCTCTTTAGGGACATATTATAATTTTTAAAAGATTACACATTATTTTATTAATCCTAATTAACCACTAATCATGTTTAATTAACCTTAATCAATAATAAGACTATTTACTTAACACTTTCAAACTACATAACCTTTTAATTAAATTTGAACTTGATTTGGCCTTTTAATAAATGCCCCCTCAGAGTGAACAGCTCAAAGATGACTTCCAATTTTAGTATTTATTTTGAAAAAGATTACACCGCATTTGGAAGGCTACTGCATCTATTCTCCAACCATAATTCGTTTGTTCATTTTCAACTTTGGTTGTTTCAGTTGTTTAATGTCTAGGATTGTCCAACGGAAAATTGCCACCAACAAACTTTCCCCCATTTGCTTGGTTTAATTTCCAGAGCGTCTTTTTCAAGCATTTACTTGAGCAGCGAAAAAGGAACACGGAAATGTCTACTTCAATCAAACAAGATCTACATATCACCCACTAGTAAAAGTCTTACAAAACACAAAGTATTGATTTTCTATGAGAACACAAACCTGGATAAAAGACATCTCCAGATTATGGAAAATTAAGATGGCGCTTTAAACAATGACGGGCTTAACTCTTGCAAATGTTACCATTTGTCCCTCATGTTTACTCTGAGGGGACACTCTGATATTGCTACATTGGGAGCACACTCAACTTTCTTATACCAACAAAGTCTGCAAGTGACACGTTTGACGGCATTTTCACAAGCATGAGATACCGATTCAGGCAGTAAAATGACATCAACCGTGAAGTTTAAAATTCATATTTCATCACTATGTTGACCTTGGTATGTAAATCTAGGCATTTAGAATAACGTACATGATCTAGTGGTCAAACAATAGCTAATGAAATGGAAAAAAGCAACCATCAACAGCCAACACTTTTCTCATGTTTACAAAACCCCTTATAGCAGCAACATAAATAACAAAAAAATATTTAGACCTCATATTCTTGTCCCACTTCAAAGTCGTCTTGCTACCTTAGTTTGTCAACTCAAGCATATAATGGTACGCTCCTAATACTGCGTACCCGTGCTTTGGCATGCCACTCACAAAATCTTGTTCATGTTGTCTCCCTTTCCAGCATTTCTAATAACTAACAGCGCATCCCAACTCTGTGCACACAAGTCTTTGAATGTCCTTAGAAGATAGATCTTTCCCTTCAACAAACTGACTTTTAACAAATTATCCAACAACATCAGCGAAGGCTTGTCGATGCTCACCTGAAATATTTCTTAACCCACATGTGTGCTCACGAGTGTATGTGCTAACAATAAATTTTTCGGACTCCGCCAACCTTCTACAATAAACCCCCACTTGCACTTTCGGCCACGACATACAACCGTCACTAACGATGAATTAGACTTTTTAGTGATGAACTCAAAATTACCTCTCACGGCAACAAGTTTTAGCTTCCTCACCACTTCCTCTTTGTTGTCAAATAAATACCCTACGAGCAAGTCCGATCCATTAGTAAAAACATGAGCTGATTCACTACTACCTATAGTTGTTGTCTCTGAACCTACATAAAAGACCATAGTATTCTCTTCCTCACAAACTACACCTTCTACATTATCTGTATTTAAAGAAATCTTTACATCTACAGGAACATGTACGGGGTCCTCCTTGTCAACATTTTCATTATGTCGCACATGACCAACCTCTTCTACAGTGTCCTCCTCACCACCCAAATCACCGCATACTCTTGATTTTTCAACTAAGAAATCAATGCCCTCGTAGTTCAAATTAAAACCAGCATTCTCTCCTCCAACTTCCTCTTTTTCTCTTTCTTTTGAACCAACTTCCAACGGTTTATCTATAAAAGAAACCCTTAAAATCGGCCTCGAACCATTATCGCCCACATCAATCATATATAACTTCACACCGTCATCCGACTTTAATATAGTAGGAGGTACCTTATAATGTTCATGAACTCTGCTTAAAACATACTTCACAACTATATCACTACGTGAGCAACTCAAATCACCTCTTCTAATTATTTCATGAATCAACTTATCAAAACTAACCTCTGTGCTCACAGCAATTGGTATAACTTTTTTGCTCTTCCCAATCCACTTCCAACAACTTTCTTCCTCCACCCACTCACCAAAATATTCAACACCCAAAACAACTTGTCCCATGTCTAATAATAGCCAATTACCTATAATGCAAGAAAAAAAAATTATTAACTGATGTATTAAGGATTGATAGACTTTAAAAAGCATCTGCAGAATCGCTTGAGCGATCTGGTGTATCACTTGAGCGATCTGATATATCGCTTACTGGACCGCTTAAGCGATCTAGTATAAATAAGTCTGAATCGCTTAAGCAATCTGTTGCCATATATTAGACTTATAGCAGATCGTTTAAGTGATCTTCTATCATACACCTGATTACTTAAGCGATCTACGATCTGCTGCATTATACCAGACATAGTAGATCGCTCAAGCGATACACTAGATCGTTCAAGCGATCCATCATATCCAAAACACATTTTCAGTCATCTCCACTTACAATCGGTGCTATCACCCCCAGCTACCCACAATGCAAGAAAATATTCAATAAATTTCACTCTTTTCAACTTGCATTACTTCAAACACAACCCAATAACCTAAACAACTAAATCAAAATCATAACCCAAACTCAATCCATCATTAAATCTTTGTAAAATCGAAATATAAAATGCAAAGAGGAGATACACATACCTGGACGAAATGTCAGGAGGAGGAGGAGGAGAAGGTGGATCTGTGGCGAAGAAGACATTAATGGCGGAGGAAGAAGAAGATGTACAGGAAGAAGAGGTAGACGAAGCTTAGAAGAAACAACAACTAAGGGAGGGATGTGTTAATGGCGGGAGGAAGAAGAAGAAGGTGTTTGGGTTTGTTTGTAAGAATTTCGGCTCTTTAGGGACATATTATAATTTTTAAAAGATTACACATTATTTTATTAATCCTAATTAACCACTAATCATGTTTAATTAACCTTAATCAATAATAAGACTATTTACTTAACACTTTCAAACTACATAACCTTTTAATTAAATTTGAACTTGATTTGGCCTTTTAATAAATGCCCCCTCAGAGTGAACAGCTCAAAGATGACTTCCAATTTTAGTATTTATTTTGAAAAAGATTACACCGCATTTGGAAGGCTACTGCATCTATTCTCCAACCATAATTCGTTTGTTCATTTTCAACTTTGGTTGTTTCAGTTGTTTAATGTCTAGGATTGTCCAACGGAAAATTGCCACCAACAAACTTTCCCCCATTTGCTTGGTTTAATTTCCAGAGCGTCTTTTTCAAGCATTTACTTGAGCAGCGAAAAAGGAACACGGAAATGTCTACTTCAATCAAACAAGATCTACATATCACCCACTAGTAAAAGTCTTACAAAACACAAAGTATTGATTTTCTATGAGAACACAAACCTGGATAAAAGACATCTCCAGATTATGGAAAATTAAGATGGCGCTTTAAACAATGACGGGCTTAACTCTTGCAAATGTTACCATTTGTCCCTCATGTTTACTCTGAGGGGACACTCTGATATTGCTACATTGGGAGCACACTCAACTTTCTTATACCAACAAAGTCTGCAAGTGACACGTTTGACGGCATTTTCACAAGCATGAGATACCGATTCAGGCAGTAAAATGACATCAACCGTGAAGTTTAAAATTCATATTTCATCACTATGTTGACCTTGGTATGTAAATCTAGGCATTTAGAATAACGTACATGATCTAGTGGTCAAACAATAGCTAATGAAATAAATTCGGATGAACTTCAACAGGGTATTGTCTAAATGTACAAGCTGAATGCCTGGATCCACAAACATGAAATACAAAATGCACCTGGTAAAGAGATAACAAACCACAACAAATAATGCAATCCATGCATACAAAATTAACCAACTCTTCCATCACCCAATTGATTCCTTGACTCACAGAAAAGTCTCACAGTTTGATAGATCAAAGACGGTTCAGCCATTGCACCATTTCCGTAATCCCCACAAGCCAGCCTTTTTGTGACAGGTGGTATAAGAGAAATTCCTAGCTCATCAATTGACATAAGGTGCCGCTCAGTGAAAGGATTGGTCCACATGAAAGTGTTCATAGCAGGTGCAACAAACAGTGGTTTGTCATAGTCCCATGCTCGTACAACGCATGTTAGCAAATTGTCGCACAATCCTCCAGCTATCTGCAATACACACAAGATATAAAACAAAATTTACGATGTGAAGAGAACACAAAATACATAAGACCGTCAAAGGAAGTCACTCCCAGCAGGTATAAAGGACAGTGACCTTAAATCATATTAACTTACTCAAAAAAGCAAACATGCTTATACATGACAGTAGAGTGCTTCTAGATTTCACTTTATTTCTTAAACATAAGGAACCTGCACATGATTCATTGCTTGAAAATAGAGAACACAAGGTAAAAATTTTCAATTATAAGTTTTAGTTCACTATGCCAACTTAATGATTGGAAGCAAAATAAGATGCCATGATAACAATCTGGCAATCAGGATGCATTCTATAAGACATTGATAAGCTCTCTGAGTCTGAATAGAGCATAAAAGAACACAGAAATCAGTTCCTAGTATAAAGGCATGCAGTTTGACTAAAATTATTGACATTGGAAATTAACACATGATTATTCACAAGTCAGGTCTTTGTCCCATACATTCTTTATTTTTATCGTCTTTACTCATTGACAAAATTAGCAAATAATAAGAAGCTAATGGCATCCTGCACTGGTATCAGACGGCCAAAAAAAACAATCTAGGTGGGCCAAATAACAAACGAACAAACTAGTGAATTTGTTACTGATTTTTTTGTCAGAATCTATTTCAGAAAAATCTGTGTTCAATGATGTTTCCATCCAAAAAATTTTTTCCTCTTTCTGATTCTGTCGATTGCGATATGCTCTCCTAACACATCTTACTGCCAATTAAAACATACTACATATTTTTTTTTTAGAAACAAGAATTCCAAGGTGCCAAACGAATTACCTTGCCAAGTGTGTTCGCTGACAATGGGGCAATAACCATAATATCAGCCCATCGGCGGAGCTCAATGTGCAGTACACTATCACCTATTTTGTTCCAACTTGACCATTCATCCTCATCAGTGTAGAGAATCACATCCTTAGGAATTGATGCTCTATCAATGAAGTGAAGAGAGGGCTTTGTTGCCACTGCTCTTACTTCTGCCCACTCCGAAAAGCAATGGCAGAGATTCCCAAACTTTATGGCGGCTACACTTCCACTTGCAGCAAGTAAAATTCGGGGTCTCCTAGGAGCAGCATTCATTTGAATCGACTCACTCTCTACATTTGTAGCTTCTGAGTATGCCATAACCTTTACCAAAAAGAATCACCAATGATATTAAAAGTTTCATAAAACCTTGCATTATCATACTTGCAAATAAATTCGCCAACACAAACTAAAAAACCTTCAAATAAAATTGATAATCTCTATAAAATAAAATTTAAATCTGCATATCCATTCCTTGAAGAACCTATCTTAAAATTAATGTCACCGGGAACTAACATTTGAGACTCCAATTGAGATGCAGGACAAGAAAAAAATCACATATAATACCGACATGCGTATAAAAATACTACAAACACGAGTGATCTTAGCAACTCTATCTTAAATTTTCATAATGTTCTAATTTTCCACTACAAATTGTATCAAAAAAAAATCCTCAGTTTTTTCATCATCCAAAATGGTCATGAAGAAAAAAGTTTGACAAAACGTAATTCGCCAGAAAATCATAGACAGGAAATAAAAATTGATAGTTAAGAACTTGGGCAAAATCAATGGTTGTTGTGAACTTACTGTAGAAAATGGTGTGAATTGAGTTAGGGTTCTGATGCAAAACTCCCGGGAGAAAAACAGGAGGAGGTTAAAGCTCAAAACGCGAAGTTTTTAGCTTCCCAACCACGGGCGACCTTGGAGGTCTCTCCAAAGAAAGTGCAGCTCTGAATTGTCTTGAGTCTCTGAGATTCGCTTTCAATTTTCATTTTGTGAAAAAGACCACTCCATTTCGGGATTTAAGTAAAAATAACCATAACATACTTAAAACTACAATAATAACCAAACTAATAACTGAAAGACCAACTTAACCTCAGAGCACGCGTAACTCGTTTTAGAGGCAATTTAAAACAAGAGAAATGCTAAATTTCAGAACACCCTTCCCCCTCGTTTGTTCAAACCGGAGAAACCAAAGCTACATTTCAAATTTCCTTGGCCGTGAGATAACTTATTAGGATTGGATTTTACCAAATTAGACAGATTTGGTTATGTTACATTTGGTGTAACATGGATTCGAATAAGAATATATCAAAAAAATTAATTAAAAAACTTTTTAATGATTAAATATTAAAATACTTTATAACATTTTATTTACAAAATTATGTAAAAAAAAAATTATATTAGATAATTATTTATAATTATATAGCATACAAAAAGTTTATACAAAATCTTGTATATAAAATAATATAACAGAATATTTGATTAAATAGATCAATATATAAAATTAAGTTAATAAATGCATATTAAATGATGGTGAATAACATATGACAATATTAAATTTATGTCATATTAATTTGTATATAGTATTATTCGTAGATTAAATAAAAAATATAAAAAAAATACACATTTACTTAACATAACTATATGAATAAAGTCTAATATTTAAAAAAAAAAAAAATTAATATACAGATAGGGGTAGTATTGAAAATATCAACAGTTGTTTCAAAAACGAATCTTAAGAGGACAATCACACAATTTATAGAAAAACTAAAAGGGAACATTTAACAAACCAAACCCATTTCAAAGTTACTAATATAGTAGAGAACTTATTTGAAGTCTTTTGTGTGGTCTATCACTCTATCCTCTTAGATATGATACATATTTTTGGGTTTAGATGGAACAAGACATGGATTCACACGTTGCACATATATGTTTATTCGATGTTTTTGAAATAGATTGTAAACAAATTTATTATAACAAAATAAAATAATTAGATTAAGACATAATAATTGTTAAATTATACAAATTTTAAAGTAAATATAAATTTTTTATATATACAAAATTGTGTTAAGATTAAAATAATAATTATATCTGTATAATTATTAATATCAATTATAGGTAGATGTCATTAAATCATTCATCCAACTTGAGAAGATCACATGAATATTATATAGTCTAATTATATTTTCAGGATCATCACCTTGTACAATTGATATTATTTTTGTAGACATGTCTTTGATATTCGATGTCAGTATTTTGTAGTGAATCGTGTATGATATTTAAAATCACCTGAATCTTATAAAGATCAACTATTTAAACTTAAAATTTATATTGACCTTCCGCAATTTCTGTAACTTATATTCATTTTCAAACTGCGTTGCGCAGATATGTTTATTATTATTATTATTTACATTATTATTGGTTTTTATGTCTTTTAAATATATATTTTCTATATTGAAGTTCATTTTATATTGAATTGATAATTAAAAATCAATAAATAAAATATCCACAAATTGAACTCAAAATCTATATCATCATGGTTCTTCTCAAATATGTCACCATTTGAAATCTACAACCAAAGTTTAAAACTTTGTCAAAAAAGCAAACAAATTTGCAGGATAACCCATTGGGTATTATTGATAAGTCTATAAATCAATCATAGAAAGAGAAACTTTGTTGAAAAATGTGAACTTTTAAGCAAGAGACTTGCAGAGTCAAAAGAAAAAAAACTGATTTTAATTGTTGAGAAGAGAAAATAAATTATTTTTATTATTATTGTTATTTTAGAAATTAAAAAAAATTAAAAATGTTGAGAAGAGAACTCACATAGAAAGCAACAACAACTCCAACATTATAATTTGAAAGCAACTGAATTGAAGCATTGAAGAAGCCATGAAAATAAAGGTCCTGTGACATAAATCTATTTGCTACAATTAGAATTGACCACCACCTATAGCATAAAAAGCATTGGATGATAACATCCTAAAAAAAGACGGTAATTGTAAAACTCACAAAACCCACAAATCAAACAACAAAATCAATCCAAAAATCAACAAAAAGAGATATAACAAATACAATTAAAACTATATATCAATATTTGTTTTCCTTTGTCATCACTAAAATTAAATTTGTTTTATGTATATGATGATAAAATAAATGGTTCGGCAGTAGGTCTATAGTTATCCTAATTCATCGTATACTATATCAAATTAAAGCTCTATTTTTCTAGTTTCCAAAGATTCAAACTATTCATCAATTAGATTTTTATTGAGCAAATTATAACTAATTTACTATTGATTGTTAAGTGGAAATCGAGAAATGGGGGAAACTAAAATGTGTGTAATAATAAAAATGAATGGCTCAATAGAGGGGTTACAATTATCCAAATTAAGCATATAATTTATCAAATTAAAGCTCTATCTATCTAGTTTCTAAATATTCAAACCCCTCATCAATTGGATTTTTATTGAACAAGTTATGGTCAATTTACTACTGACTGTTTAGTGGAAATCAAAATGTGTGTGATGATCAAATGAATGGTTTGACAGTGGGGTTATAGTTATCAAAATTAAGCGTATATATATCTAATTAAATCCTTATCTGTCTAGTTTCTAAATATTCAAACCTGTCATCAATTGGATTTTTATCAACAAAGTTATGGTCAATTTACTACTGACTGTTAAGTGGAAACCGAAATGTGTGTGATGATAAAATGAATTGTTCAACAGTGGGGCTACAGTTATCCAAATTATGTGTATAATATATCAAATTAAAGCCCTATCTATCTATCTAGTTTTCAAAGTTTAAACCGCTCATTAATTAGATTTTTATTGAGCAAGTTATGACTAATTTACTATTGACTGTTCAGTAGAAATTGAGAAATAGGGGAAACCAAAATGTATATGATGATAAAAGAAATGGTTTGGAAGTGAGGCTACAGTTATCCAAATTAAACACATAATATATCAAATTAAATACCTATCTGTCTAGTTTTCAAAGATTTAAACCACTCATCAATTGGATTTTTATTGAGCAAGTTATTACTATTTTACTACTAACTATTTAGTGAAAATCGAGAAACAGAGGAAACCAAAATGTGTATGATGATAAAAGGAATAGTTTGGAAGTAGGGCTACAGTTATCCAAATTAAGAGTATAATATATAAATTTAAAACCCTGTATGTCTAGTTTATAAATATTCAAACCTCTCGTTAATTGGATTTTCATTAAGCAAGTTATGGTCAATTTACTATTGAATGTTCAGCAAAAGTCGAAATGTGTGTGATGATAAAAAAATGGTTCGATAGCGGGGCTACGGTTATCTAAATTAAGCGTATAATATATAAGTTAAAGCACCGTTTATCTAATTTCTAAAGATTCGATACTCGCATCAATTATATTTTTATTGAGCAAGTTATGGTCAATTTACTACTGATTGTTTAGTGGAAACCGAAATGCGTGTGTTAAATAAATGAAATTAGTTATATTCAGCAACAACCTCTTTTCATGATATATGCATATAACATAAAAAGATAGAACAATTACAATTAAAACTACATATCAGCACTTGTTTTCTTTTAAGAATAATAATAATGGTTCGACATATTATAAATGGTTTACTAAAGCTACATGGTTTGGCAACAAACGTTAGATGATATTTGTGATACAAATAAAATTTGTTACATATAAAAATAACCTATTTTCTATATATGTATGTAACATAAAAAAATATCAACAAAAAAAGATAGAACAATTACAATTAAAACTACATATCAATATTTGTTTTCTTTTGTCATCACTAAAATTGAATTGATTTTATGTGTGTGATGATAAAATGAATTGTTCGGCCGTAGGTCTATAATTATCCAAATTCATCGTATAACATATCAAATTAAAACTCTATCTTTCTAATTTCCAAAGATTCAAACCGCTCATCAATTGAATTTTTATTGAGTAAGTTATGATCAATTTACTACTGGTTGTTTAGTGAAAATAGAGAAACATGGGAAACTGAAATGTGTGTGATGATAGGAATAGTTCAGAAGTGGGGCTAGAGTTATCCAAATTAAGCGTATAATATATCAAATTAAAGTCCTATCTACATAGTTTTTAAAGATTCAAACATCTCATCAATTAGAGTTTTATTGAGTAAGTTATGGTTAATTTACTACTAACTATTTAGTGAAAACCGAAATGTGTGTGATGATAAAATGAATAATTCGGCAGTAGGGTTACAGTTATCCAAACTAAGCATATAATATATCAAATTAAAGCTCTATCTGTTTAGTTTTCAAAGATTTAAACTGCTCATCAATTGGATTTTTATTGAGCAAGTTATGGCTAATTTACTACTGACTATTCAATGGAAATCAAGAGACAGGGGAAACCGAAATGTGTGATGATAAAAAGAATGATTTGGTAGTGGGGATACAGTTATCCAAATTATAATATATCAATTTAAAACTCTGTCTGTCTAGTCTCTAAAGATATAAACGTCCCATCAATTGGATTTTTTATTGAGCAAGTTATGATCAATTTACTACTGACTGTTCAGTAGAAGCCGAAATGTGTGTGATGATGAAATGAATGGTTTGACGGTGGGGCTACAGTGATCCAAATTAAGCGTATAATATATCAAATTAAAGCACTGTCTATCTAGTTTCTAAAGATTCAATCTTCTCATCAATTGGATTTTATTGAGCAAGTTATGGTCAATTTACTACTGATTGTTCAGTAGAAACTGAAATGCGTATGATAATAAAATAAATGGTTTACTTGACCCAAATTTAAGGGATTATCATATTAAGACTAGTAAGAAATATTTCAAATAACACCTATTAATTAGAAAACGGAATCAGTCAAAATTAATTTATTTAACATATATTTCCAATTTTTTGGAACCGCTACTGTGCGGTTCCGGTTTCGGTTCTTACCCTCGGAGGAACCGGAACCGGAACCGGAACCTGTAAAAAGGGTACCCTGTTTGGAACCTGTAGGGGGTACCTTATTTGGAACCTGTTTTGGAACCT